ACTAATTGAGAGGAGACAGTTGCCCAGCTGTGCCTCTCATGTGGAAAAGTGCTATTTCTTAGCTTTGTTCCACTGCTCGTTTTGTTAGACAAAAATGGAACTTGCGGGTTTTGCCAATAGCTTCTGCTAGACCAACTCTTGCCCAGATAATCACTTAAACCCAAGGCTCTGCTAACAGTTAAATGCTATAGTTATGTCTTCAATCTGTACAATGATGATTATACACATCTGAGTAACCATTCAAAATTTCATGACTGTCCTGGCCACAAAACCCCAAACAGAATGAGTCATCCCACAGGTATCTTTGATTTATTTCAAGGGAATTATCTTTAAATACATATTTTAATCCCTCCTTTTTATGTGATTGTTTATCTGTATAAGCTAAGTGTAGATAACATTAAAATAAAAGTTAAAGTAAGTTAAATGTTAGAGACTTGACTCAAATACCTCTGCAAACTGAAGAATTAGAAACTGGGAGGCTCACATTGTCGGTTCCTTACCTGCGCGGTCTCAGGGAGAATCAGATCTGTCAACCCAGTAGTGCAGCCTTCTGCAACCTGATGCTTCCCATATGTTTTACATCAATAGTTCCCCACCTCTTGAGGATGCAACCCACAAGTTAAAATTTACTTAGTATGGTGACCCATCGTTTTATTGTCACATGAATATAGGACCTCTGGTCTTCAGCAGCCATCAGTTTTGTGCATTTTAACTCCAAATTTGCCTGTTTTGTAACCATTACTTGAGGCATCCAAGCTAAAATTTACTTAATGACTCTATTAATGTGGAATTTGTTGAAATATTTATAGTACTTACAAAGTTATTCAAAGTTTTGTTTATGGGCCATCTGATTTCAGGATATTGCTTCATAAACTATAAAAAATTATTCTAAAAGTTACACAAGCAATATGAAACAAACCATGAATATTTTAATAGTTTGATTCATGATAAAGATTGTTTTGGCAAGAATCAACTGGGTGGTGGAGTTTGCACTTTGCTAACAAGTAGGTCAATGTGGGGTTTGATGGTTGTCAGACATAATCTCAGATCATTATGGATACACAGGATAAAGATATCATTTCTTATTTTGACTAAGCAAACTTCACTTAACCATTAACTAAACCTGGCAGCAGATCTGGTGATGGTTCACCACAAGGTACAGGGATTTGTTTTAAGTGACTTTCACAGCTTTCCTCTGGTATTCAGGTGCTGCCTCCAGTGTTTCCACATCAGAGGCAAGCTGTAACTCCTTGTATGAGTACCTGGCAAACTGTCACCACATTTGCAATAATTATTCTGAGTTTACTTACAAAGCCCACAACCTACTTGGACAGGCTTTACAATCCACTTGCAGATCACAACCCACAGGTTGGGAAATGTTGCTTTAGACTGCACAGCATCAACCCTGACCATTGATCAACATTTTCGTTGCCAGTCCTTGGTAAGTCACTGGCACTTTGTTATCTATTGCATTCTGAGGAGATTTCAGGATGCCTTTAAAATATGTTAGTGTAAGTTACTAGTTTCCCAACCTTCAAATTTTAGCCTACTTCTCCAGAAGTTAAATTTCAGACTTCAGGGAGGCATGCAACTTGTCCTTACTACAAGCCTGAACACTTAAGTACAGTCTTATGGTGCAACTAACATAGTCACCACTACACTGGAGCTTAAGCCAGTGTAATTATTTAGGCCCTACATGTTCCAATCAGTAACATCAGAAACACAGTAATACCAGTAGGGAAAAAAGGCAAGGCCATTTCGTCCGAGAGCCTAGCACAGGGGTGGCTAACCTGTTCCCCTCCAGATGTTGTTGACCTCCAACTCCCATCAGCTCCAGCCAACAGGCCTGTAGTTACGGACATTGGTAGTTGTAGTCCAGCAACATCTAGACAGCCAAAAGCTAACTACCTCTGCAACTCTGTATCACCCACCAATAACAGCATTCTTCTGGCTAATGTCCAAACATTGTCACATGTGAAAGATGCCATGTGTTGAACACAAATGTCACTGAACGAGTTCTGTCTCCTGCAACAAAGCACATGAACGTGGCCAGTAGGAGTCCCTGGTGTCTCCTCTAGAACACCTAGTGCCACAATTGAGTGGTTAGGGGAGCAGCAGCTGATGCTGGGAGCCTTTCTCGGGCAAGAGTGGAAAACTCTGAGAGTCTAAGCAGCAATCTGAAAACAACTGTTCCTTTTCAGTGGAATATGTCAGCATCAGCCAGGAAGGGAATGGTCAACCAACTTCATATCTTGGTGGGAGAATATCTGCACCTTGAATTCTGTGGCAATTGCCTCCCAGAAGAAATGCCTGAAAACTGCAAAAGGATCAAATATTTCACAAAGACAATATTAATAACTAGTGAGGGTTGTGCTCTTCCCTCCCTCATCTCATCTCATAATTTGTTTGATTTTTCTGAACTTTCTTGGATAACTCTTGTCATAAATCTGGGCCTCTTTGTGGCAGTTCTGTAGGAAAGCTTTGAAAGACCAGATCCATGGTCTCCTCATTAGCCCTCCCTGCTAACAGTATTCCTTCTAAAGCAGAATTACACTTTCAAGAAAAGCAGTGGCAGGAAGGGCCACTAGTGACAGCACAGGCCGTTTCCTTAAGGCCAGGAGCATTCATTGCCAGCAAAGTGCAAATGAATTCTTCCCATGCATCCCAGTGGGCCTTCCATGTGACTTCTGAAGCTACATAATGCTGGACTTTAGCAATGGGGAGTTTAGTGCCACAGACAAGGAGATGGTGTTCTGACAGATGCTGAGTAGTTAGAACAGTCTCCACCAAACTGGCTGAAATGACTGGCAGAATCCGAGATTTGGGAGAGGAAATAATGGAGGAGGACTGGAAAAAATTTAAGGACTATTTGCAAAAACAATATAAGTTGTATGAATGCTAAGAATGTGTACGATTAGGAAACTTCTGCTTCAGCAACTTGAATATGTGAATTGGAAATTAAGTTATAAGAAAGACGAGGTGGACAACATGAAATAACTATACTATGTTTATTTTTAAGGTACAAATAACGGAGATACAGTATTTTGAACTTAGAAACATAGTACTTGAAAGATACAGTAAGATATGAAACAAGGTAACAAATTGCTGATGTTTTAATTGCAAAGAACGCAGGGTTCGGAAGATGTGGGGAAGTCCGATTGGAATGGTAAAAGTACTTTGGAAAGTTGGTTTTTATGTATTTCTTATTTCTTGTATCTTTACTCTTTATTCTCTATTCTGTAAATCCCTGACTGTTTGAAAGAAAACTTAATAAAAATATTTATAAAAAAAAATAAAATAGAACAGTCTCCACCAATCTAGCACCCTCCAGATGTTTTGGATTGCAGCTGCCATCAGCCCCATCCAGCACACTGAGAGTGATAGGAGTTGTAAACCAAAACATCTGGAAGGTGCCATATTGGCAAAACCTGAACTAATGTATACTGTATAGGGAAAAAGTGTTTCCTGAAATGTGCAGGCCCAAGCTCTTCGGAGTTTTGTAAGTTTAATTGGGTCTAGAAGCTAATAGGTCACCTGTTCCACCCAAGCAAGCAAGCAAGCAAGCAAGCACTGGTGTAATACGCTGCCTGTAGCAGAAAAGATGTCACTTTATTCTGCCTCAGCTACAGCTTGGAAACTGTCTTCAGTGGTAGCTCTGTGTAGAATATATGGTAACTTTAAATTTGTGACGTTATCAAAGCATGATCCTTGTTGTCCAGGAAGCAGCTAGGATATGAAGTCTTGCTGATAAAAGTCATCACACAAACTTAATTCCTACCTGCAGAGTTGTAATATAGTCATCTACCAGAATGGAAGAAGGAACATTTAATAAACTATGGAAGTATTAGTGCACATAAAGAACAGTAGTTTTGCTGTTAGAACACAATTCCAGCACACATTTTGCCAGACCACTGGGGTTAACACTCATAACCATGCAAAACACGTCATTGGATCTTTTTTTCATGGTTTGCCATTTCAGCACTTCTGACCAGTATGAGGGTTAATTAGGTGAGTACAAGCATAGAGGAAAATATTGCAGCCTACCAAGTCACTGGTGCCATTTCCGGCAGCCTGCCTGCATGTTTTCCCCTCAGTTTTCCATCACTTGAGTCAGTCATGTGTTGAAGTAAGCCGAAATAGTATGCATGCAAACTTTCTTTTTGCTGAAGCCTAATGAGGAGATGTGTGTTAGATGCTTTTTAAAGGTGATTCTGGGAAAAAGCAGTGTTTAGGTTAGAAACATGCTATGAAAGAAATGTCTATTTATTTGTTCTTTGTTTCTAAATAAAATTACCATGTCCAAAAATTGCCCCAGCTAGTTTGGTTGATTGTGAATATTGGTTTGTTGTTGTACTTCCCACCCCAATTTTTTATGTGTTGTTTTTTACATTAAATTAATTGCACAGGTATTGTGAAATTTGCTAGGACAATTCTAAAAGCGGGAAAATGCCACAGTTACGAATAAGGACTTCGGCTTTTTTTAAAAAAAAACCCAGTAAAGGGATGTGGGAATCCTGAAACATGTATCAAAAAAGTGTTATTTCAGAATGTGCAGTGAAAAGGATACAAAACATAAAAAGTGAAAAGTATGTTTCACTACCATGATCCTGAAATTGGATGGGCATAGTGAGGGAAAACAAACAGAGGAGCATTGATTCCCGCTTTAAAAAAAACCAAGGTAATAGAACAAGTAAATGAAGGACATTTCACAAGTCTTACCTCTTCATCATTACTGTCTATAAAAAATGCATGTTGATTACGGTAACGTTTTGTTTTGCATTATTTGGTCATGGAATTTTTAAAAAAATGCAAATTGCAAATATAAAGAGCAATCTGCAACTCAGTTGGAATGTTGTTCAAGAATGAACTCAGATTAAAAGAAAAAGGAAAGAGCTCATATTCCACAAGTAGAAAAGAGTGTTGATCTGTTGACACCAAAGTATATGCCACCAATTCTGTTTTACAGTAATCTAACTAACCTACACCGTTTTGTTTACTAGGTTTGCTGAAGCAAAATCTTTGGGAGAAAAAGTAAATGAAATAAGAAACAAAATCAGTAAGTAATCCATGAATCTTCCAAGTTCTGTTACAATGTTAGCATATCAAGCTTACATCATCTAAGCCATTTTAAATGTTTTTTAAGATCAGCTGTTATCAGAGAAAGTCAGCTGCTTATCCTGTGCTGGATGTTATCACCAGCTATGACTTCTGCTGATCTTTCTGTATACTCACCTCTTAAGTCTCTATTATCAAAGAGTTTTTGTTTTTTGTTTTGCAAAGGAAGCCAGCAAGGGCTTTGTGAAGCAGTGTATTGAAGATACAGTAAGGTCCTGAGTAAGGTGACAAGAGTACTGGTAAAATAATACCTGTACAAGTTGCAAAATAGATCCTATATAACTATGACCCATCAAAGGTCTAAACATTCTCAGCCAAAGTTCACCTGTAACCAGGAATGCTAAAATCAAGATGCCCAATAACCACTGCTGTCTCAAACATTGGGCCTGGTGACAAGCATATACATACGTTGTGGCAGACATCACAAATCTTGTTCTTTTCCTTACCTATCTTCTGAAAAATCTTGTTGGCTCCCTAGGGTTTTTTTTCTGGGAGTGGGACATTGGGGAGAAGGGAGACACACACATCTTTGACACTGAACCATGTCCAGTTCAGTGCTTAGCATACTGGGTTGCAATGCTGGCAGTCCAGATTCAACTATAGAATCATAGAATAGTAGAGTTGGAAGGGACACTGAGGATTGTCTAGTCCAGCTGCATGCCGTGCTTATCTGTGAGACGCACAGCTTGCTTATCCTGATCTACTTCATCTGATTTTTGTGCAGATAAGATGCTGTTCTTTGTGCAGATAAGATGCTGTTCTTAACTCCTTGGTGGAAGGACAAGATCATAGAATCATAGAATCATAGAGTTGGAAGAGACCACAAGGGCCATCGAGTCCAACCCCCTGCCAAGCAGGAAACACCATCAGAGCACTCCTGACATATGGTTGTCAAGCCTCTGCTTAAAGACCTCCAAAGAAGGAGACTCCACCACACTCCTTGGCAGCAAATTCCACTGTCAAACAGCTCTTACTGTCAGGAAGTTCTTCCTAATGTTTAGGTGGAATCTTCTTTCTTGTAGTTTGGATCCATTGCTCCGTGTCCGCTTCTCTGGAGCAGCAGAAAACAGCCTTTCTCCCTCCTCTATGTGACATCCTTTTATATATTTGAACATGGCTATCATATCACCCCTTAACCTCCTCTTCTCCAGGCTAAACATGCCCAGCTCCCTTAGCCGTTCCTCATAAGGCATCATTTCCAGGCCTTTGACCATTTTGGTTGCCCTCCTCTGGACACGTTCCAGTTTGTCAGTGTCCTTCTTGAACTGTGGTGCCCAGAACTGGACACAGTACTCCAGGTGAGGTCTGACCAGAGCAGAATACAGTGGCACTATTACTTCCCTTGATCTAGATGCTATACTCCTATTGATGAGGCCCAGAATTGCATTGGCTTTTTTAGCTGCCGCGTCACACTGTTGGCTCATGTCAAGTTTGTGGTCAACCAAGACTCCTAGATCCTTTTCACATGTACTGCTCTCAAGCCAGGTGTCACCCATCTTGTATTTGTGCCTCTCATTTTTTTTGCCCAAGTGCAATACTTTACATTTCTCCCTGTTAAAATTCATCTTGTTTGTTTTGGCCCAGTTCTCTAATCTGTCAAGGTCGTTTTGAAGTGTGATCCTGTCCTCTGGGGTGTTAGCCACCCCTCCCAGTTTGGTGTCATCTGCAAATTTGATCAGGATGCCCTTGAGTCCATCATCCAAGTCGTTGATAAAGATGTTGAATAAGACCGGGCCCAAGACAGAACCCTGTGGCACCCCACTAGTCACTCTTCTCCAGGATGAAGATGAACCATTGATGAGCACCCTTTGGGTTCGGTCAGTCAGCCAGTTACAAATCCACTGAGTGGTAGCATAGTCAAGACCGCATTTTACCAGCTTCTTTACAAGAATATCATGGGGCACCTTGTCAAATGCCTTGCTGAAATCAAGGTAGACTACATCCACTGCGTTCCCTTCATCTACCAGGCTTGTAATTCTGTCAAAAAACGAGATCAGGTTAGTCTGACATGACTTATTTTTCAGAAATCCATGCTGACTATTGGTGATCACAGCATTCCTTTCTAGGTGCTCACAGACTGTTTGCTTAATGATCTGCTCCAGAATCTTCCCTGGTATTGATGTCAGACTGACTGGGCGGTAATTATTTGGGTCCTCTCTTTTCCCCTTTTTGAAAATAGGGACAACATTTGCCCTCCTCCAGTCTGCCGGGACTTCGCCTGTTCTCCAGGAATTCTCAAAGATGACTGCCAGTGGTTCTGAAATCACATCTGCCAGTTCTTTTAATACTCTTGGATGCAGTTCATCTGGCCCTGGAGACTTGAATACATCTAGACTAGCCAAGTATTCTTGTACTATCTCCTTAGTTATTCTGGGCTGTGTTTCCTCTGCTGAATCATTTGCTCCAAATTCTTCAGGTCGGGCATTGTTTTCTTTATCGGAGAAGACTGAGGCAAAGAAGGCATTGAGGAGTTCAGCCCTTTCTGTGTCCCCTGTTTGCATTTCACCATCTTCTCCTCTGAGTGGCCCCACGGTTTCTTTGTTCTTCCTTTTGCTACGAACATACCCATAAAAGCCTTTTTTGTTGCTTTTAACCTCTCTAGCAAGCCTGAGTTCATTTTGTGCTTTAGCTTTTCTGACTTTGTGTCTACACGTGCTGGCTATTTGTTTGAATTCCTCTTTGGTGGTTTCCCCCCTTTTCCATTTTTTGTACACATCCTTTTTTAATCTTAACTCAGTTAAAAGTTCTTTAGATAGCCACCCTGGCTTCTTTAGGCACCTTCCATGTTTCCGTCTCATTGGTATTGCCTGAAGTTGTGCTTTTACTATCTCCCTCTTAACAAACTCCCAGCCATCTTGAACTCCCTTTCCTTTTAGTATTACTGTCCATGGGATCTCACCCAGCACTTCCCTAAGCTTTATGAAGTCGGCTTTCTTAAAGTCGAGAAATTGAGTCCTAGTATGCTTGGCTGCTCCTTTCCGCTGTATAGTAAACTTCAGAAGAGCATGATCACTCGCGCCTAATGATCCTTCCACTTCTACCCCACTAACCAGGTCATCAACATTGGTTAGGACCAGATCTAAAATGGCTGTTCCTCTTGTTGCTTCTCCCACTTTCTGGACAATGAAGTTGTCTGCAAGGGCAGTGAGGAATCTGTTTGACCTTATGCTCTTGGCTGAGTTTGACATCCAACAAATATCCGGGTAATTGAAGTCCCCCATTACTACTATCTCCCTTCCTTTTGCATGCTTGGCCATCTGTTCCAGGAAGGCATCATCTATGTCCTCCGTTTGGCTTGGGGATCTATAGTAAACTCCCACAATGAGGTCACTGTTATTCTTCTCTCCCTTAATTTTGACCCAAATGCTCTCACTTTGGCTTTGAGATACAAAGATACAAACCTTAATAGTAATAATGAAATAACAAATTATTCATAACAAAAAAAATTCCTTCCAGTAGCACCTTAAAGACCAACTAAGTTAGTTCTTGGTATGTATAATGACAAAGCCATTTTTCACCTTCTCACCCCTTGCTTTTTCCTGTAAGACCTATTGCAGTCGTTAAGAGTCGTCAACAGGCTCATCACAGCTATCTGCCAATCACCCATTCCCACCACCCCTCCCCACCTTCTCACTATATAGAAGGATCTGGCAACTTCTGTTTCAGTGTATCTGAAGAAGTGTGCATGCACACGAAAGCTCATACCAAGAACTAACTTAGTTGGTCTTTAAGGTGCTACTGGAAGGAATTTTTTTTGTTTTGACTATGGCAGACCAACACGGCTACCTATCTGTAACTGAAATTATTCTTAGTCCAGAATGATTAAGGTAGGGAAATGGTTAGGATTCTCCCAAGTTTCCAAAATATGCAGTCATTTTTCAGTATCTCAGTAATAATCACGGAAATGGTCTAGACACCATAATGTGTGTTCTAGTTACAGAACTATTGGTCTTTGAGGATGAAAGATTGTATCATTTGCATAATGATTACTCATTTAACTTGGGGGTAAAAACAGACAAGTATGGTGGAAGTGGTTTAAACACACATCCTCTGCCCTGAAGAGATATGCCTCAGAATGTAGCAAATGTAGACCATTTCTATCATACTTAGGATGTTACGTCTGTCTTCAACCTGCATTTCTAATAACAAACTAATTTCCTCTAGCAATAAGAAGTTTGCTCAGTGTGTGTTCTCAGAAAGTGGTCAACTTATATAGTGGAATTTCTCAGTGCCGATCCTTGAGTAATGTATATGCTACACACTGCAGGAATTTGATACGGGACTTCCTGCTTATGTTTTGCCGGCATTTCTTTCTATGTCTCCTACTTCCTGTGCTCTCTTTCCTTGTTGCATTTTTCATGTTGCGCAGTCAGGGCCAGATTTAGGTTTGATGAGGCCCTAAGCTACTGAAGGTAATTGGGCCCTTTATATGTCCAGCTGTCCTTTGTCAACAACAAATTGTCGCTGTTTTTTGTGTTGAATATATGCTATATGGTAATCTATGGACCTAATAAGTATCTAAAACTATTTGCACATAAGAAAATATGTATTTTATCAAAGTAATTGATATAGAAATGAGCAAACCAGTGATATTTTAGGGAGCAGGCTAGCAGGCGAGGCCCATTTCTTACATCATAGGAGCCTACACAACACAAAACACTGTTGCTGTATGTAGGTTTTATTTTATTTGTTTTCTATCTTAAATTTTGGAAATGTACATCCAGGGTTTTTTTCTTTAATTATTTTTGGGGGCCCCCCAGAGAGTTGGGCCCTAAGCTATAGCTTGTTTAGCTTATATGTAAATCTGGCACTGTGTGCAGTATTAACTATAGATGGAATTGATTTGCTTCTCCCACAACACGGTATATTTGCATGGGTAACAACATACTGTGATCTGCCATAAGATCTATGGATGAAGGACAGTATATAAATTTAATAAAT